GCAAGACTCAACAGATACAAGGAGACCACAATCCAGGCAATCATCGATAAAAAGCGAGAATTCTACAAAGGAGATTATATACAACCCTCACCGCAGCACCTGAACCATTGAAACGAGTGTCCGTTCCATTTGATCAAGATATTACTTGCAAGCTAAGACCACAGTTAAAACAATTCGGATTAGATTTAGTTTTCACCAGTAGATATAACCAGTTGAAATCATTGTTAGGATCCACTAAAGACCCAGTTAATGTTTTAGGTAAAGCAGGTGTATATAAAATAAGCTGTAATCATTGTAACAAAGTATATGTAGGACAAACCAAGAGAACTTTAGCAACTAGATTTAAAGAACATATAGCGGAGGTTAATAAGGCCAAAAAGCAAGAGGAAAAAGGCCTAACATATGATTTCAAATCAAAGGTTGCAGAACACATCTTCACAGAGGACCACCAACTATCGACGGAGGACATCACGATTTTACGAACCGTATCTACACCATGGAAATTGGATGTTGCAGAAAGCCTCGAGATCAACAAACAACGTAATTCATCTTTACTCAACAGGGATCAAGGAAACGGACACACATGGCTTTTCAAGTTACTACCTAGGACACATCAACGAGTAAGCAGCGGAGTACCTGCTCCTATAGAAAATTAAATTTAAGTTTACCTAGTTTCTAAGTGAAAATGTATATTGGGGGAGGTAGCTCATCGATTCTTCCGGTTCGCCTCCTAGCATCGTGCTATAAGCACAAACGAAGTTACAGACGACTAACTGGCGAAGAAACCCATTAAAATAATGTGGTTCATTGTAATAGAATTTTCTTGGAAGCTTGTGCCATCATCCACCAGATGGGTTAGTTTTTTTGTTTTGATTTGAACAAAGTTGATTTTGTGTACAATGATTCTTTGACAGTGTGCAAAGAGTGCGTATCATTTTGTCATTTTTTTATGCATTTCAGTTTTGAGTAGAGTGAATGATATAGAACCAAAACATTCTAGTACATTTGGTGAAAATGCTAGTTCAATCTAATAGTAGTGTTGCCATGTGGTACAATCCAGTAGTAGTGGTGTTGCCATGTGGTACACTGAAAAATTGCAATAGCAGGTTAGTCACCAAAGTTTTCGAGCCGCTCCGTCTGTCACTTCGTTTGTGCTATAAGGTACCAGGCGATAACCAGGGTAGTTGATCGATAGCTCGATGACGTCATTTCGTTGGCGTCTGCAATGTGAAATTCTCATAGCAGGCGTTGACGTTGGGACGTTGTCGAGTTGTTGAATAGCAACTATCGTGGTAACTCACCGATTACCTGTCGATCCGCCAAATTTGGAAAGACGTCTGCATTGAATTATCTCATATAATAATATTCCGCCCACTATATCACAAGAAATTGCGAGTAGCTGAGTGGAATGGAGATAAGTTAAGCATTGGGTACAGGACCAAGTCTCCCCTGGGTGGTGCCAAAAGATGAGCGCAATAGAATCATCAAGTTGCCATAAGGCACGGAATGAGACTATTGCATGGCTGGGTAGTCAAAGTCTTCCATTCGTTAGTCATTTCAGGTGGATTAGAACAGGTTTAGGTTTAGGGTGGGCGTTGGCCAGATTTGGATAGGATAGGATAATCCTAAATAGGACCTAGATTATTTAATACACTAGTAACCTCAACTTCTGTCACAATGTTTCATTGTGACTAATCAACACGCAATGGGTAAAATATCAAATTTGCGGTAAATTTGAAAAAAGGGAACTTGGAGTGTAGAGCGCACTGCCCACTGGACGATTCTGAAGCCTCACCAAGTGAGTGGGTTACGGGTTTATTTGATTGTACGTCATTTCCAAGTTATATATAGATACATTCATACCATTGGCATTTTGTATTTGAGATAAGACAGAGACAGATCGTTATTACATTTTTTTTTGCTGTGCACTACACCACCGGAGCCAGCAAAGTTCAACAATCCATCGTTGCTTATGCCTTTGTTGTCGTTTGGAACCAGTTTTGCGAGGTAGGCGACGATTGTGCGTATTTCTCGCGTAACTTTTGAAAAGGGCCTATTTATAGCCTGAACAATACGTAAAGAGCAAATTAAAACATTGAACGTCGCGTGAAAGTGGAACTTAATGAAGGCCTAAGTACTTTTTCGTAGTTTTTAGTTTGCGGATTTGAAAGATCGTTGGTTACAGTGGCCTGCTTACTGAGCAGAAAAACGCGGTCCCAGGTCAGATTTATGGTAAAATCGCTTGTGTATCGTGTATTTTGCGAAACTCGTTGTTGTCGTTGGTTCCGGATTTGAATGGATACACAAATTTGAGCAACGGTATTATGTGATATGAGGGGCTCGGTGGCCTTAGAGCAACCGTTTTTGCTTACTGAGCAGAACATCATGAGTCTAATCTCAGGCCCATCCACATTCAAGATTCGTCAATCGTTTTATTTGTTAATATGACTAAATGGTAATAACAGCAACTCGGTGATTAAAAAGGTGCTCGTCTGCCTAGTGGCAAACGTTTTTGCTTACTGAGCAGAAGACCGTGGGTTTAGTCCCAAGCTCCTTCGCGTTATATGATCGTTAGGACATCAATTCAGCTTATCGTTTACCAAAACGAACCCTGCTGCAAACCCAACCCTCTTATCCAACATCCCAGTGATTCCTCGTGGAAGTGCAGAGGTGTTCTCGGCTTCCATCAAAGCGAGTGTCATGTCAACACAATCCTTCCCATTCCTTTCTTGACCTGTGTTCGGGCGCGGCCGGCGCTGGTATTGCCTAATTTAAGATCACCAGTTTTTACACATTGAGGATGATTGCTAGTCCCAAGCATCGTCTATTGGTTCTCTGTGTAATTACAGCTGATCTGGCAGTAACAGAGTAGCAACCGTGGGCGGTCAATCAAACAAAAAATCAAACAAACAAACAACTAAGTGAAAATGTATATTCGGTAAATGCGATGTTTTTCTTCAGTCGAGTATTAGTACAAGACACTGAAGAAGTCTGCGCATTGTAGACGAAATACGTGTATCTGTCAAGGATAAGCAAATAAAGTAGTAGAATTAAATGGAAAATACTAATCCTTCTCTCTCTCATTAGACGTATAATAACTTTTAACTCAAAAACCAGTATTTTTTAGCATGAAAGCTAGCGATCTGCTTTGTATGATTAAAACTCTGTTTAATATATTTAACATTGCTATCAGTATGAGATTATGTGTGTTCAATTGGAAATAGGAGCAACTTTTCGGTCATCAAAATAAAACTTTATTTTTCTCGGATCGGTGCGAATGTTACTTTCGACATAATGAAAATTTGCTCTTGTATTGGAAAGAGAAGAATATTCCCAAAAGGGCCACCCACATTAAGGCCAGCGCACAATAGATACGTTTTCAGGTTTGACAGTTAGCCCATGCAGCCCTGTCAAAAAACCCGAAAACGTATCTATTGTGCGCTGACCTTTAGATCCTTTTGCGTTGCGTTGACGTAAATTTGACCCTTAGACCACAGACAAACAGACGTAACTCTTCATTGTGTATCTTCGTTCACGCATTTAACGGTTGATATGAATATTATCAGTTCCGCGAACTACTCGCCGTAGCGCTGGCATCGGATCACTTTGACGTTTCTATACATTCTATTGAACTTTCATGCAATATTGTTTGCGAGTTAGCGAGCAAGATTGTTTTCCGCGAGAAGCCCGAGAGATGTCGTTACTGAGGTCCTATGTTTTGAGATGCTATGTTTTCAAGACAAACTTTTTCAAAGAGTTACGTCTGTTTGTCTGTGCTTAGACAATAGATTTAGCTGTCACTTTGCCGCAACGCGTCCGATCCGGATCTAATGTGCTTGGGCCTTAATCGATGATGTTGTTGGTTTGCGTTGGCGTAATCCGGTTCGCTTGTAAAGGACTCACAACTTTTGTTTGCAAAGGCTTTTGTGCCGTTTTCAAGTGTAACGCCAGAAATAAAAAATTGGCCCGGTCTCACCAAGTGCCACAGGTCTGCCGCCGTTGTTTGCTTCTTTTGGAATCCCTTGTACTTTTTCTCTAACGCTTCGTATTTCATTCCGTGCTTCACCGGCAATTTCCTTCCGTAGATCGTCCTTGGTCGGTTCTGACATGATTTCGCCTTTTCCGGGTTTTTCTTGTTTTCCAAGGGAGATAAATCCGCCCTAATATCCGTTCCTGGTTCTATGTTGACTCCATCCTCGCTGGTTGGTCTGCGCGAAAACGATTAGAATGGTTCATCGATTGCGACGTGAAGGATTTCTGAAAGTGAAGCGCTTTATTTCTAAATGATTAAATTTTATCCTTACGTAAACTGCCCATACACTGTCCGATATGAAAAGGAAATCAAGCAAAGATGGGACAATTATGCTTTTATGGGCAGTAAATTAATCACCTATATTCCCGTTCACGCCCAAACTTAAAATTCAGGCACTTTAGAATAACCTACAATTACCCTATTTTACTCGAACCGTGCCATTACTAATTTGGCACAACGAGCCCTATATGCTTTCTTACCAAACCGCAGAGAACAATTACAATACTATTGTTTTAAATCATGTTTTTATTCGATAAATTAACCGTGAACAGAATACGTTTTGTTTTAGCCCTTTTTTTAAATGTATTTTTTTCATCTCAATCATCAAGTCGCAAAATCTAAATAGGGGAAAATTAGGCTTCGGCAATACCTTAACCTATTATCGTCTGGGGGTAAACAACGTCTTTGAGAGCTCAATTTTGGCATGTGGATACATTATGTTTCAGAGCAACTATTGGCTAAATTAGAGTGCTCTAGGACTTTTTTTTACCCCCTGACGATAATAGGTTAAGGTTGCAAAAGTGCTTATTTAGTCAAAGTCTACACATCCAGAAAATTTTATTGAAATCTGAGAGGGTGCTGCCAGCTTCGATTCGATTTGGTGCGAAATGCGTCTATACTAAAAAATATTACCGAAGCCAACTTTTCCCCTATGTTTTAAAAGTTATTTTTTTAAATCGGTCTATTTATCTGAAATCGCGATCTCGTAAATTGCTCAGTTGCAGACTATTGAAAATTTTTCTATGTCCAAGATCTTGAAAAAAATGCTCAACAGCAAGGAGCTTAAATTTCTTCTATGAAGGTGGGTTGGTTTTTCTTCATTGTCTCGATTTATTTATATTTTTTTAAATATAGATGACCTATACAATTGTTATGTACCTAAGTCAAAGATTGTCTAAACAATATTGAGGTCCCAGTCTCGAGAATTTTCCAATGTCTAGATTAGCATAATTCTGGATTTTGACAACTTATTAGATTACTGACTAAAAGGAAAAAATGAGCACCGCGGACTTTAAAATGCAAATTAATCATAAAATTACCTTAACACTGCAATCAAATTAACAGAAAAAAGTATCCGTAAGTTTCTACAATAGCTATAAGTTGCGTATTTCCAGGAAGTTCTCACTAAATATCAAAAACATTTCACGTTCCTATGCTTAACGTGTTACGGCATAAACATTCGATTATGTATTAATTATTATTCAGTAATTTTAGCAGGCTACCAAATAGTCACACCAATACCTACGATTAGAATCGTAACGCTGCTTAAAATTTAGAATCCTCCCAGTCCGAGTGGTTTCCTCCCAGGCCACTGTTCCTTTGCGTATTTCTTCTTCTTCGGTTCGTCAGATACATCTGGTTTTTCTGCAATTTTCACTGTAATTTGAAACATGTGAATGGTGTATCAGCACCAGAATGCAATAATTAGCTTACCCCTCTTGGGTGCCATGTTGTTGTACATTGGAGGAGGCATTATAGATGTGCTGGCACTAGCTGGGTCCACATCCGGCGCTGGATTTGGTAGAATAATACCCAGTTGTGTGGTCATACCGCTGGGTGTCGTGTCCATGTTGAAACCAAAACCGGACCCATTGCCGGTGCTACCTCGGCCATCGTGCGATTGCTCATCGATTCCATGGTACAAACTCGGTACCAAATTGTGAGAATGCTGCATGGCTTTACCGGAGGAAGGTGACGTAGAAAGACCTGAAGATAAGGAATGATTCTGATCAACGAGGATGGCTAAAAAGGGCTTTGTATGGCTATTAATACCCATTGAATGGACTTCGAGTTTTGCCCGTTTGGCAGCTACTGGGACGACTGTAGACGAAACGAGATTACGGAATCGTCCTATACTCGGATCAATATCTTCGGGATTGATGACGATTTCATCTTCATTGAACTGGACACCTTTCCTCTTTCTCTTATTCTTCATGTTCTTTGATTTAAAGATTGTAAAATATTCAAATTTCTATGCAATTCTATGATTGTACAATCGGCTCTTACCTTTTTAAAGCTACTAGTCTCGTCAGCTATTCCTAGCATCGTGATCCTCCGATTATGAGCGGTATTATACTCTGTCAAATTCTGAAAATTAAGCCGATTGTAAAACATATATAAATCAGACAAAACCCAACCCATCTTACATCCAGTTCCGTTTGGCTTTCAGGGAGTCCCAGATACGTTCCGTCGCTCGTATCCATCATCGGTATATCTTCCATTATGTTCGATCGCACATTAGGTCTCTCGCGCAGCATGTAAAACCTAGTCGATGCCCCAAAGTGGAAGGTTGAATTGATCTGCAACTGCGTCGGTTTGTGCGCTTCCAGTCGAACCGAACCAATATAAGTTCCATGCGTGGAACCCAAATCTACCAGATACGCTATGTTCAGGTGCTTGTGATAGACGAATGCAGCATGGACGCGGGAACAGGATGCATGATCGATGCAGAAATCGTTCATCTGTGGATTTCGCCCGAAAAGGTAGCACTTCTTCTCGTCGATCATCAGCTTCTGAACCAATTTGTCATCTTTCATCACGTCCAGGTGCAATCCAGTGGGCGGCTTGCCGGCCCTACAAACCAAGAAAAATCAGTGCCATAATTAAAAAACGCCACCGAATGGGCGAATAATGCCGAAACATACCAGGAAGGTATATCGTAGTGATTGGACATGTTTTACGCGTCAATGTGTCGAAATAGATCAGCGATGTCGGAACCATGAATTCTAAACCTTTTTAGAACAGTTTGTTAGTAAAAACTAAAAAAATTAAGCCAAAATGAGAAATTTATGCACGAGCGACATTTTGGGCGATTTATTTTACAAAACAAAATTTTGACATTTGAGTTTAAAAACATAAGGGAACTCACCTTGGGTGTGTTGATAAATGCAGTGAAAGTGTATCTTTTTTGATACACTTTCACCACAGACAAACAGACATAACTCTCGCAAGTAGTTCATCGAACAAGCATTTAACGGTCAATTTAAACGTATCGTGGTTGGTAGTACCGCCACCTGTGGCGCGCATAGTCAATTCCCTTGCGTTTGACGTTTACACACTACCGCCATCTGTTCAGTGTACTACCCACCACAGTGTATTCAACAGATGGCGGTAATGTTTTAGCGACGATGTTTTAAAGTGAGAAATATTCAATGTGTTATGTCTGTTTGTCTGTGCTTTCACTGCATTTAGCTGAGAAGTATCCAATTTTAGGTATTTTGCGAAAACATAGTTTTGAGTAAAATGTAACTGTTTCAAGAATAGCGATTAAGGGCCACCCACTTTAGATCCGTTTGCGTTGCGTTGACGTAAATTTGACAGTTAGACAATAGATTTAGCTGTCACTTTGCCGCAACGCATCCGATCCGGATCTAATGTGCGTGGGCGTTTCTTGAAAAAAAAACTACTTAAAACGGGTCCTTATTTTAGCAAATTTTGTTGTTAACAATGATTTTTTAATTGTGTTTTATTTTATTTTCAATGTTTACGTTCAGCATTGATAAGCAAACAAAGCACTTTTATTTATTCTTATGAGCACTCTAACAGATTTAAAAAAATAAAAAAAAATCGTCCCTCGCCCACCAACATCGACATTGACAGTGATATCACAGACAAACAGACGTAACTCTTCATTGTGTATCTTCGTTCACGCATATAACGGTTGATTTGAATATTATCAGTTCCGCGAACTACTCGCCGCAGCGCTGGCATCGGATCACTTTGACGTTTCTATACATTCTATAGAACTTTTATGCAATATTGTTTGCGAGTTAGCGAGCAAGCTTGTTTGATGTCGCTACTGAGGTCCTATGTTTTGAGATACTATGTTTTCAAGAAAAACTTTTTCAAAGAGTTACGTCTGTTTGTCTGTGGTGATATCACGATATGGTGATACTTCGTCGGTGGTGATACTAATTTCGAAGCGTTTTTCCAACTAGATATAGTAAAATCCAACCAATTACCGGCCACCCGTGGCGCTGTTGTTGTAGCGGTGATAAAAATGTAAACATCTGTCAAACGTGACTCACATTAGAATCACAGACAAACAGACATAACACATTGAATATTTTTCAAAGTAAAACATCGTCGCTAAAACATTACCGCCATCTGTTGAGTACACTGTGGTGGGTAGTAAGCTGAACAGATGGCGGTAGTGTCTTAACGTCAAACGCAAGGAAATTGACTATGCGCGCCACAGGTGGCGGTACTACCAACTACGATACTTTTAAATTAACCGTTAAATGCTTGTTCGATGAACAACTTGCGAGTGTTATGTCTGTTTGTCTGTGTTAGAATTTTCACTTGTCTTGTCTTGGTACGTTTTTGACCACCACCCACCAAGCTTGTAGAATTGTAGGAAAAGCGTCCTGCTTCAAAGTGACAAATGACACCAATGATTTTTTTTTTTTTTTTTTTTCATTATAGTCATTTTAACACTCTTGGGTCATTCGTGACTTGTCCGGGGGTGAGATTTGAACTCGTGACTTTGGCGTGAGAGGTATGGATGTTAACCACTACGCCGGGGTCACCCCCGACTACAATGATATCACTGCTTGCAATCAGGAAAATATTTGAATTTTTAGACAACGTAAACACAAGCTCCACCGCTTAACATTCTCATTGTTGTTGCAGGATCGTTGCATTATCCCGGGATGCAACGAGAACAAATTTCAACTTTTTCGAGTTCCGAATTCGAGGAGCAACAAATTCGTGCAGTGGAGAAAGGTTGCCACTGTTTACGGATCAGAAGAATATAAGTTCCAAAGTTTTGGGGGGGGGGGGGGTAATTTGAGATTAATTTCATGTGGCCGCTCTCCGGGATGGGAACTTTGCAGAACAAATCCATTCCCCTCAATTGTTGCTTTGCTGCTGATCCCGAGGCTGATCCACTGGTGTAGCCCAGGCACACAATATGCTTGGTCTCTAAATCCGCTAGCACGGAGTCCCCAACATCATCCAGTATATCCAGCAGACTGACTTGGACGTCGATTTCAATCATACAAAACATAACCTAAATAATATCGGTGCATCAAAAAACGCATTTTCATTATCTTTCAATGACATTGCAAGGAAAATTGTCATAACATTACATTATTTGACAAATTTCCTACATGTATCATCCATAGTAATGCTCGTATCTCACTATTTTGAACTCTTTTTTCAATAATTTATCACTCAAACTCTGGAATTTAAACCGGCTGCCATAAATTTATCACCATCGACTAGTACTATTTCCCGCCACTAGTGACGCATAAATTTCACTTGGATTCTACTATTGACAAATCCATGTTTCAATCGACCACCGTGACGCTGCAATAGCAGCGGTGATCAGTCCGAAATAATGTGTCAAACTGAATACATTTTTGAAATTTCCACCAAAAAACTATTATTTTCTATTCATTCTAGCGAGTTTCTGTGGAAGTCAAAACATGATCCGAGCAAAAAATTAGTACTCGAAATAATGGTATATAATGCTGAATTTTATCGTGCTTTGTTTCGAAAATATCTTCCAAATAAACAAACATCATCCAAATCACCCGATGCGTCCATCGACTAAATCCATTGCCACTTAAAAATTCATTTCAGTCGGTGTATTAATCAGCACATTAAATCGTTTTTCGTCTGGTGCTACTCCGAGCAATCGGCCTATTTAATAGTTTTTCGTCGATTGATTTAGTCGGCCAACTTTGTCTGCTGTTTAATCGGCAGATGATTTCAAACCTTAATATGTTTTCAGTGATTTATAAGTCTTGAAGTAGCTATTTATTTAAGAACAATGCATTACAAAATAGTTTTATGCATTTTGTACAAGATTCATCCATGCTGACAACAAATTTTCATGAAATCACATTGAAATTAAATAATTTGGCATTAATCAATGAAACTTTCAAGGGCTGTCACAGACTTATCACCGTCGGTAAGTGCTTATTCCTGCCACCAGGCGCACAGGAGTTTAAGTTGGATTTCTCAATTGTTACTTGGGAAACTTTTTTTTAGAGCAGCGACGGCAACAGGCAGCGTTGGGAACAGCAACTCTCCATTTCGGAAGCGGAGGGAACAGAAACTCCACTAAAGGCCCGCGCACAATAGATACGTTTTCGGGTTTTTTGACAGATAATGCATGCGCTAACTGTCAAAAAACCTGAAAACGTATCTATTGTGCGCCGGCCTTAAGCAACCCTAATAAAAATAACCATAAAAAAGAGCTTAACGACGTGTTCGGGGTATAATCCAAACCATTTGTGGGGTAGTTTACCTATCCGGGATACAGTTCGTTTATGGTATTTGTTTATTAGGGAAGACCAACGACAAAACTAGAACGGCAGGAAATAGGAAATTTCTCTCTCAGAGGGATTCAGCTGCTGCACTTTTCAATCTACACGGTGAATGAGAACGACCCAAATTTGAATTTAGTTCACTCATAATCGCCAAAAGTGCAGGAACTCAGCGACGAGCTCAGCGATGAGTAAATTTGCCTCATGTTTTCCCAGGTTTTTCCAGGATTTTCCAGGGAAAAATTCCAGAATTTGAGAAAAGTAAAGATTGGATTCACTCAGTCTCTTGGTACTACCAACAATCAATACGAAACTAACGATTTTAAATTGGCTCACTACTTGACTAGCCTATTGGTCCCAAGCAAACGATTAACGTACCCCATTCTAGTCGAAATTCTAGTACTACGCAATGTTTGTTTTGATTCGCTATAAAAGTTTGACAGATAAAATGAGGGGTTATTGGTTTTTCCTATGTTTCGAGGGGTGAATCGATTAGCTTGGGACCGAAGATAGTACCAGAGCTGAGCCAAAAAGTTGAGCACGTTATTCCGGGACCTTCTAGTCTTAGAGTTACCTCTATGGTACTACCATAGTGGAAACTCTAAGACTAGAGGGTCCCGAAATAACGTGCTCAACTTTTTGGCTCAGCTCTGGTACTCTCTTCGGTCCCAAGCTAATCGATTTACCCCTCGAAACATAGAAAAAACCAATAACCCCTCATTTTATCTGTCAAACTTTCATAGCGAATCAAAACAAACATTGCGTAGTATTAGAATTTCTACTAGAATGGGGTACGTTAATCGTTTGCTTGGGACCAATAAGCTAGTCAAGTAGTGAACCAATTTAAAATCGTTAGTTTCGTATTGATTGTTGGTACTACTGCGAGACTGAATAAAATTTTAGTCAATTTCCTCATTTTCCCGCATTTTCCGGCAGATTTTTTAGGTTTTCCACAGAAAACCATGAGACTAATTTTACTCATCGCTAAGTTCCTGCACTTTTGGCGATTATGAGTGAACTAAACTCAAATTTGGGTTGTGTGTTGAAATAGCTGTGAATATCTTAATATGGCCATGAGGATGCAAAGAGAAAGTCGACGAAGAGAATCTGTCAATGTCACTTAGGACTGAATGCATTGTTCAGCTTGATATGTACCACTACCTCTGAGTAGAAGTGACTCTTTCTCTGAGTTATTCTCAGTGGCCGTGTACGAAGCATAGTGGATATGACATTTCACGTACATCAAATATCGGCTTATTGTTTATATTCAGTCACTTCACCGAAAAATCCAATATGAAAGTGTCGGTGGAGCTCGTGCTCGGTACACTCGTTAAATTCGACACATTTTTATTGACGAATTTCTATGTGAAATTCCACATGATTTTTGTGTGACCACACCTCGGACCACACATAAACAGAATCCACTCAGAAGTACACATGATATTTATGTGTCAAATAAATAGTATGTGTCCGACACATGGATACCATTTGTTGATCACATTGCAAAAATTCATTGAAATTTTCTTAGTGTAGAA